TGAGAGGTCGGGTTATCGGCTATTATCACATCTGAAGACATCAATCCATTAGTCATACCATTGCTGTAAAGACAGTGATTGTCATCAATACCTAAACCATTGCTTTCGAGACAGTCTTTGGGCTGAAAATGTGTTTCGGGGAAGAAGAGAGTCCTCCGTTTGAGTGATTGTCTTATGGATGGTTTGATGGCATTTGTGGTGAGTTTGTGGTGAAGATATTGTCTGAATCTGAGACTCAAACACAACAGCAATACATATGAAGTGATTCTCATATAAACAGACATTTGAGTCCCACTTCACTTCAATTGCATTCAATTTTGCCTCAATTTGTTGACAATCTCTGCAATAATTGCAACATTTGTTCACAAATACTGTTTGTGTTATAGTTATGCAATCTTTGCAAATGTCAAGGTATTACTGCTTCAGGTATGATATATGGGAACTAATTGAAGACAGGTCAACTAGAAAGTAATGGTATTGGTGTAACTTTTATTGCGGTCAATAGTATACTTTATTTAAATTAATGTTCTACCTAATCTCAACTTGCTAACTTAGCTATAATTGCTAGTTTAATATATCTTATAAATCAAGAATTATTGAATTGTTCATTTTAATTTTAAAAGACAAATGTATAGAAAATAATCACCTTGACCATGGTCATTCTGAGAATTTATAATTGATTACCGACTATGATGTATAACACAATGAATAGACTGTTTTGGCGCTGTGTATACAATATATGTTTAAAATTCTGTAAATTAATTATTGATAACAGAAATGGATTTTGAATTTTATATCAATTTTGGTTTTGTTTGAATTTCTCAAATAAGTAGAAAAACAAAAAGAGAGTCGAAATTCTTGGAGCGTATCCTTTGTTAAATATTCTTGAAATAGGGGTCTTTGAGTACATCCCAAATGTTGGGCCGATTCTGGAGGTCTTCGGTGAGGATGCGGTCCAGCAGTTGCTTCGCCTCATCAGAGAACTGCTTGCTTTCGGCGAACGCTTTCCACTGTTCATCGAAAGTCTGTTTGTTTTTCAACTTAAACGGACTCTCTTTGGCCAACAGCTCACATATGAGGCACCCGAAGGCCCACACGTCCGCCGCCGACGGATCCCATGTCTCCGCTTTGAAGGCTTCAGGCGGCAAATGAGGGCTTTTGTCGAACAACTGCTTCGAGAGCCTCTTCTTACTGACCACTGTCTCCATATCCGGGTCCCAATAGAAGCAGCACTGGTTCATACCGACCACTTTCACTCGGCCCTCCTTGTCCTGGATCACGTGACTCGGCTTTAGGCCACAGTGGGCCACACCCACGGAGTGGAGGTATTGTATGGCAGACGCGATCTCTTTCAACACTTTCTTCGCCTCATTCTCGTCGACGGTCTCACTCTTCTTGAACTTATCCAACACTGACTTCGGCTGACACTCA